CAAAAAGTTACCTTATGTTAACAATATGTTTACAAAAAAAATGTCCGATATTAGAATTTGATGTCAAAAATTTGGCGGTTTAGGGTTAAAAATGTTTATAAATTTGGAAATGTTTTTTAAAATAAAAGAACTAAAAATATTTATAAGTCATGCAGACGACTTCTATATAAGGTTCGACAAGTTACCCTTTCAAACGCAAGCGGTGGAAAAGTGTGTAAAGCTTGTAACAGAAGCTGCATTAAAAATTTGCTGCGAGGTAGCAAGAAATGGTTATATAGATGCGCGGACATCTTTACCGGCCTATATGACAAAAAGTCTCAATATTATGTAATATTAAAAAAAACTGGGTGGGAGGGAGCGGGTGGCACTCTAGGAGCAACTATCCAATTAATTAATAATAATAATAAAAAAAATCTAAAAAAAAATTATATGTATGGTATTAAAATTATATTGTTTTGATTTATTTATCATGGGTGTGCCAAAAAACCTCGATATTTTTTTTTTCTTGCTCTCAACCCAAAATATCGTAGAATATGTCCGAACAAATATTCTGTTAAAAGCGGAGCTCATAATTTCAATTTTAAGAGGTCCTCCATCGAATCAGAAGTTTTGCCGCTTAAATAACACAGAAAACTGACTTTTTTACCTTATTTATTCTTGAAACCTAGGAAGAAATTTTTTTTTCATAAAATCCATGACTAATTCTTACAAAGCAATAAATTTGGAAGAAAAAATCTTATTAAGCCGAATTTCTATTTTCATTATTTGATTTTTTACAGAGCTTTAAATTTAAAATTTTACGTTTTTTGCCTTTTTCAGCTAAACTATTTAAGTTAGACGAAAAAGTCAAATGGCAATTTTTTAGCTTGTCTGATGGACCATAAAAAAGTTTTAGGCGAATTTTTTGTATCGTCAATATTCTTAAAGTTACAGGCGTATAAAGTCATCATTTTTGTATTATTAACTTTAAATTTAAAGCTCTGTAAAAAATCAAATATTGAAAATAGAAATTCAGCTTAATAAGATTTTTTTGTCCAAATTTAATGCTTTGTAAGAATTAGTCATGGATTTTATGAAAAAAAAATTTCTTCCTAGGTTGCAAGAATAAATAAGGTAAAAAAGTCAGTTTTCTGTGTTATTTAAGCGGCAAAACTTCAGATTCGATGGAGGACCTCTTAAAATTGAAATTATGAGCTCCGCTTTTAACAGAATATTTGTTCGGACATATTCTACGATATTTTGGGTTGAGAGCAAGAAGAAAAAAATATCGAGGTTTTTTGGCACACCCTAATGTATACTGTACCAATATTTATTACAAGACTTTTTTTGGCATTTAACTGAAGTCTTTACTTCTTTTTTTAACTGAAGCATTTACTTCTTTTAAGACTTTATTTATTTCGTTAGTGGCTGTGTTAATTAATTTAGAGTAACGCATAATCTTTTTTAAATTTAATAAAATCAAGCTAAGAGTTGCTAATTGTTTTTATCAAAAGGCGTCTTAATAAAATAATAAAAAAAACTATTAGACTGATACAGACATTTGGTTTTTCTATGCAATAATATATGGGGTAACTTTTTATTGCCATCTCAATTAAAATATAAATAAAAAAATTTGGGCCCCCAGGGCACCCTTAAATATTGGGCTAGAATGGCTATTTTTTTCTAAACATACTGTTACTTTTTGTGGTTACCCCAATTAAAATATGAAAAAAAAAATATATTTTGGGCCTCCGGGGCACCCTTAAATTTTGGGCTAGTACGCTCATTTTTTTTTTCTAGAATTACTGTTAACATAAGGTAACTTTTGTGGTTACCCCAATTAAAATATAAAAAAAAATTATTTTGGGCCTCCGGGGCACCCTTAAATATTGGGTTAGTACGCTCATTTTTTTTTCTAGAATTACTGTTAACATAAGATAACTTTTTGTTCCCACCCCAGTCAAAACATACAAAAAAAATATTTTGGGCCCCCGGGGGACCCTTAAATAATAGGCTAGTACGCTACATTTTTTTCTAATCAATTACTTTTAACATAAGGTAACTTTTTATTACTACCCAAAAATAAATATCTCAAATATTTTTTTTTACGTTTTTCGGCCCGTGCCAAAAAACTTTAAAAAAAATTTCAAAATGTAACGTGCCACATGTAAATTTTTATAAGTGTTATGAAGATGAAAGTATACAAAAACATTATAAAAAAAGTAAATCATTATTTAGAATTTTTTTTAATTAATTGTTATATTTTAAGAAATAAATTTAGTCTCGTTTTTTTTATTAGAACATATCTGTACCGTACGATTTAGAAGAAATAAAAGATCAAAATCTAACATAGATGCATACTTAAAAATAGATGTTCATAAAAATTGTAAATAGAATTATTTTATTTGGAGCATTAAATTACTAAAAAGGTTCTATAACCCATTTTGTTTTAAAATTCATGGTTCTTTTTAAAACCATTATTGTTCAAGATATTTAAGTCTATATGGTATCAAAATCTAGCTTATTCTTACGTTAAACTTTTTAATAAAACATTCAAGATTATAAATTAAAGCTTTACAAACAAAGAAGTTTTATCGTTGTTTCTATTTAACACCTAGATAAAATTCTAGCGATATTCATTAAAAATTGTAAAATTTGTCGCTTATGATTACAAGGCTAACATTAAATTTTACGGAGTTTAGTTATAAGTTAGTTTTAATTGGAATAAAATACGCAAATTATTAAACTTAAAAATTAGCTTAAGATGAACAAATTTTGTTCTCAAAACGTGCCCAAAAAAATTTAAAACGTGCCACTCATGGCACGCGTGCCATAGGTTCCCCATCCCTGACCTAGAATATTAATAACCCCTTTGAGCAGAAAGGGAAAATGTTCTTAACTTCAAAAAATACGTAACTGTCAATATTAATGAACACTTGATAATTTGTAATAAAATAATTTTCTTTACGTAAGTAACAAAACTAGTTATTTTTATAATAAAAATACTTTTTTGTACGTTTCTCCCTAAATTATTAGTTTAGGGAGGTATTAGGTTTTAATTTAAATTATTGATTTCTTTCCGCAAGTTAACAAAATATAGTTGTAAATCTAACTTCTGATATCTGGCAACACTGCTGGAAGTTAGTACGACGTGACCGTAACTCTTTCATATATATGCGGAAGTGATTTCGTATATTAGTTGCTTCCAAATATATACATTTTAATTCTTCACAAAATGCTTCCCCTCTTTTGACAACCGAATTGTAGACCTTCCCCTCTTTCAAACGCACCCTAATATATACGTTTAAAATAACTGGTAATACCGGAGGTCAGGGCGCCACGTCAACCTATCGGAAGTCACTGCTTACCAAACACCAATATATATATATATATATATATATATATGGCTGAAGGACCTAGGTCACAATATCAGCGGCAAATAAATCCTTGGGTTTTATAATTAGAAACACTAAGGATTTTAAAAATATAGATTCATTAAAATGTCTCTTCAACGCTTATGTACGAAGCAAACTTGAATATGCCTGCATTATATGGTCACCATATTACAATGTATATATTGATAGCATTGAAAGACTACAAAGAAAATTTTGCAGATATTTATGTTATCTAATTTATGGATATTATCCCTTATACAATTTTGACTATGTAAGTGCGTTAATTTGCTTTGACATGGAAAGTCTGGAAATAAGAAGAAGAAATGCTCAGCTGATTTACTTGTATAAACTAATTAATGGAGTCATATTTGATTCCAAACAGTTACAAAAAGTCAACTTTTTTGTACCAAGAGTTAATTCTAGATTTCGACAGACTTTTTATGTTCAAGCATCTAATACTAATCAGGGCATGCATGCCCCGCTAAGATCAATGTGTCGATTATATAATCAAATTGAAGATAATTGTGACATGTGCGTTTTATCATTAAATCAGTTTGTTAATAGAATTAGAGCAATAGCGTAACAAATTATAATTTTACTTTTATCTTTTTTTCATTATTTTATATTGTTTATTTAATGTTGTGTTATACTGCATATTGTAAAAAATATATATCCTTTATTTAGACTTTGTCTGTTGGATTAATAAACTATTATTATTATTATTATTATTATTATTATTATAATTATGATAATCAATAAATAACTATTATTATTATTATATATATATATATATATCCTATAGGATATAATCATTGACAAGTGATGCACTTATGTGTATATATTTAACAGTATATTGCCTTACCTATTAATTCTAAAGCATAAAAAACTAAATAATTACTTTAAACTACTTTATTTCCTATTCCTATCTTCGCCCGGGGCGGCAAAAAACGTCGGGCCGGCCCTGTGTGCAGAACATATAGGTACAGTACAGTACAGTACAGTCTATTAAATTGAAAATCACAATCACCTACTGTGTTCTTTTTTAAAGGTGTGTATTTTTATTTTTTTTCAGAAATTCCGGTCTTAGCTTTAAACGAGTATAACTATATTTAAGAAAGTGCAGCAACAAATTTTTTATATTATATTTTTTGGTGATTTAATTTGGTTTAACTAATAATATTAATATTAATAATTAATTATAATTATTATATTATATTATATTATATTGTATTATATTATATTATATAATATAATATAATATATATATAATATATAATATATATATAATATATTATATTATATTATATTATATTATATTATATTATATTATATTATATTATATTATATTACCTATATTATTAAGATATTATCTATTAATTAATCATTTAAGTGACTCTAATTTATTAAAAACTTAATTAAGAATTTTATAAAAAATGGTTCATAAACATTAATTTTGCCGCATTTATTGCATTTAAGCAGACAATCTTAATTTGTTTACAAAAATTATTCTAATTAACATTAATGGACAATCAATAAAATTATGTGTCTAAAATTGGATGTACGCGTGGGTTATGGCTGTTTCAAGGTAAAATTTAAAATTGCCGCTACGTTAGTTGTAGAGGGCGCCACAGTCAATCACAAGCGTAATGATAAAATGGAGACTCATTTGTACGTGCAGTTTATACACAAAATTTAATTAAGTAAGTTCATGTATATAATCAGTATTAAATGGTAACTAATAGGTAAATTATCGTACATACAAATGTGATTTGCAACATAAAATAGTTCAAAAAGGTGTATATAAAGTGTTTAGTGAAATTTCTTCAGTGTTAAGTACGGAATACACCGAATCAGCAACGGCTACTCAGGCTCCATGGTAAGTCGGCACAACCGTGTTTTTCTTTTTGATGTCTGCACTCGACTTAAATGCTTTTAAAAAACATCAGAACTTGATTGTTTGGAAAATCTTTTTAATCAATAAATTTAAACGGTAAAATATTATTAGTATGTGTATTCAAGCAAAACCCCAAAATTCAATTGTTGGATTAAAAAAATCAACATTTTTAATGCTTATTTAAGTTACCCTTAAGTATATTGCAGCTACAAATATATCAAATTTGATGATAAAAATATACTTATTTAGTATTTAGTGTTTTCGATGATCGGTAAAAAGAAATAATTAATGGCGTTGAATTCGGGCCATTGTTTTTAGGTAAAATGGGGTTGCAGGAGGCTGCGACCTTTGATATTGTGCCGTAGCCGCAATGTCGCTAATTTTTAAACGTCGATCAGCTCGCAAAGCGCTCAAGCGGTGGACATCTCAAATGGCGGTCGCAATCTACGGCAAAGTTCATTGTTCTCCACGCCAACTATTGCGATTGATAGGAACATGACAGATTACTCGTTTTGTTTAATCGTTTTATTATTTTACTTGGCTGCTTACAAGTAATTTTTTAAATACCTACGCTCTGGACGGATTTATATTTTCTGAAATTAAATAAAAACATTGCAATCAGAACAAATTCTACTAGGTACTTACGCGCTTAAACTCCCTTGTTGCTAATCAATTTTGTAATTACCTTGTATGGTTCTGTACATCTTCTGTTTCTGTTCTATTGGCAGCACGGGCCAATTATTATGGGTTATGTGATACGTTTATTTATGTATAAGTTAGGTTTTATATATATTATTATTATTGTATTTATGATGAAACAATTTTAATGATTGTGACTGGGGGGTGAAAAGTCATACTGCTTGTGTTTTAATTGTATCATAAGCGTATAGCTTTTCCCCTTTAGTTGTAATCAAAACTTTATTATTATTTGTTTTGGTTTTTACGTTTACCTGTGTGTTATTATTACTCACATTTAAAAGTTTTTATTTGACAAATGTCAACTACTTATTTTGATATGGCACGCCGTTTCACTTTTTAATTGTAATAGTTTAAAATTTTTAAAAATAAGTAAGTTTTTAAAATTATGGAATATATCTATACGGTATTGAAGTTTACCGGTAATTTTCATTTGATTTACGGTAATTTTGGAAATATTTCAGAAAACAAATAATTATACCATGTGGATGGACATTATATAGGTACCTAGTAATGTAATGTTTTGGGATTATATATTTTTAGTATTTTTTACATACCTACTTAAACCATTTATTATATTATTGTTTGTTATAAAAGGAAACCTACATAAAAATATAATGTTTAAACAAATACCTAATAAGTAGGTATTTATTCAAAAATAAAAAAAATATATTGTTCTGATTTATTGTTAGTTAGTAAGTACCTACTTGTAAAGAACAAAAAGTATATTTAAAAATTTAAATATTTTATTCCTCAGAATCTATATTTTAAAGTTGATACCTACTTCCTTGATTGGCTAAACACGTCTAAATCGCAATCGGGCAGTTAGGTACCTGCCAGAAAACAATCTATATTTTAAAGTTGATACTTCCTTGATTGGCCAAACACGTCTAAATCGCAATCGGGCAGTTAGGTACCTGCCAGAAAACAATGCAACTAGGTGAAGAAAATGAATAAATCCAAGAGCGTTATAGATTCAGGGCTACATGACGAAATCATTTTTGAAAATTACCGGTAAAGAAATTTGCCGGGTTAAATTACACTGTGCAACACAAAAAATAAACTGGGATCAAATCTGAAAAAATCGAAACTAGGCAACCCCCAAAACAAATCCTTTAAGCGGTTTTACCAGTTTAGCTCGAATAATGGAGATATACATATATATACATATATATATGTACAGGGTCTTTCTTTTAACTTAAGACAGCTCAATATCTCGAGAAATACGCATTTCACGGAAAAATGTCTTTAATAAAAGGTTAATGTGACTAAAGGGGACATTTTTTGGTGCTACCGCTAGCCACCCCCTACCCCTCCTTAAGGGTGAAACGGGGGGTAACTTTGGAAAGTCAAATGGAATGACCCGATTTTTTTTACAGAGTTTGGTAGTACATAAAAAAATAAATAACTTTTATTTAAAACTTTTTTTAATTTATCAACAGATGGCGCTGTAATTCAAAATTTAAGAAAAATGAGTTTCCTTGTAAAATGTATTATTTGAAACGTTTGAAAAACAAAAATTAACATTAACAACAATAGTCGGCTATGAAAACAATTTATAACAAATGTTCGAAATGTCGTCATTCCATTTCAACACATTTTTGAATGCGGGTAATTTCTTAAATTTTGAATTACAGCGCCATCTGTTGATAAATTGAAAAAAACTTTCAAATAAAAGTTATTCATTTTTTTATGTACTACCAAACTCTGTGAAAAAAATCGGGTCATTCCATTTGACTTTCCAAAGTTACCCCCCGTTTCACCCTTAAGGAGGGGTAGGGGGTGGCTAGCGGTAGCACCAAATAATGTCTCCTTTGGTCACATTAACCTTTTATTTAAGACATTTTTCCGTGAAATGCGTATTTCTCGAGATATTGAGCTGTCTCAAGTTAAAAGAAACACCCTGTATATCTCCATTATTCGAGCTAAACTAGCAAAACCCCTTTAAAGATTAGTTTTGGGGGTTGCATAGATTCGATTTTTCCACATTTCATCCCAGTTCAAATTGTAAGGTCAAAATTTGTCGCACAGTGTTACCAAACTTACCTTACCAAAATTACTGTTACCGCACTTAAATTACTATCTATACCTACCTAATTTTTAATAATTTTTATTATTTAGACATACTATGTACCCTATAATAATTAAATAAAATTATGTCAAGCATAAATTTAATACGAATTTTATGGAAACAGATAGCGAAATATTATTATGTTATTATTATATTTGCGTTTGTCCTATTGTGTAAAAGTCCTTCGGAGGGGACTTTAAGCTTGCGGTCCGTTCCTACCCCTAACCCGCACAAGCCATTCAGTTGGCTTCTGGGACTTCTTAGGAAGTAAGGGTGGAACTAAAAGAGCACTTTTGTATAAACCTTTTTTTTATATCTAGATATGCATAATAATACACACATGATCAAAATTGTTGCATATTCCTGTATTTTAATTTTCGCTTTGTTGTTTTGGAATAAATTTTCATTTAATAGTTATAAACGTAAAATAAAGAAAATTTAATATATTAAAGTATAGGTATATTTTTGTAGGAAATATTAAAAATAAAACTAAATATAATTTTTAAAAAGTGAAAAAAATTATTAACAGAAACGATTTAAGTAGGTAGGTGAAAAAACATTTTAAATATAAATTTTATTTAAAAAATGAAGGTGATTATTTTCTCAAAATTGTTTATAATTGTAATGTACACTATGTATTTTATTGTCAATAAATTATTTATCTAAATACTGTCGTCAAAGTCATCATCCTCGTCGGAACTATCGTCTTCGAGGAGGATGATTGGTTCCGAAACTTTTATTTTTATTATTTCCTACAAAAATACTTCAATATATTAAATTTTCTTTATTTTACGTATTATAACAATTAAATGAAAAATTATTCCAAAACAACAAAAAACATAACGTTATACAAAACGAAAATTAAAATACAAAAATATGCAACAATTTTGATCATGTGTGTATATAATAAATTTTTCTGAAACCTACATTTTAATTTTATACGCATTTTTTGTTACATCTAAATATTTTTCCTGAGGAATATTTTTTTACATGTAAAAGTTGAATTTATGTTTGCGTCATTTAATTTGGTCCATTTTTATTTCATATGAGGTTGTTTTTTTTAGTTTGAACCTTATACTGGAGTTATTGTAAGACTAAAAACAATTTTGTTTTGAAACAAGATTTTAAAACCATTTTATTTTATTGTACCTATGTATTTTTTAAGTTGCAATTTTTCATTTGCAAGACAACAATCATTTTATTTTACAATTAATTTTATTTGTACGCAAAATTAATGCACTGAATTTTTATTTTACAATTATAATTACATATAACTTTACATAATAAAAATTATAGAATTATTTTATATAATTAATTTTTTGTCTGCACATATAATTAATTTAGCGCTGTGGGAATGCGGCTGAAAGTGGCAACTGCAGTACCCAGGTAGCACACTGACGTCTGCTGACGTTTATATGACGTTGCAATGACGTTGTTAACGTCAAAAGACGTCATATAAACGTCAGAAAACGTCAGTGTGCTACCTGGGTAGTTCATATGCATAGTAGGTATGACAAGCGTCTAGGATCGCAGTCAACCACAGTTGAAAGCAGCCATTTTAATCCGCTTTGCTAGCCCATAAATATTTAGTTTTACGCATTATCGGCCCTTATAAAGTGTGTAGAAACAATAAAATATTTGTTTATTAAATAAATTTCGAGATAAATTTTATTAATAGAACATTCTTTAGTCCCATTTGGGTAATAAAAGAAATAAAAAGTATTTCAATAACGGGGAGCGAACCCGAGCAAGGGGGTGCCCGAAATGTACTATGCTCCACACCTCGAAAGTCCCACCACGTGCCTACGTACGGAACGCAGCATTTTGAAAATTTGACGTATCTGTCGAAGTATAGTCAACTAAAGAAATAATATTTATGGTTTTACTGCTTATGTTTAAATATTTATAGTACCACAATAAAAATGGTTGGTTTTAGAATTTAGGAATATAAATACTGCATTTAAGTAATGAAATAATGAAATAAAATTAATAAGTAAATTTTTTGTGCATTTTGTCCACATATCTGGTTTTCTCCATAAAATAGTTTTAACTAAAAGGCATTTATTAACAAAAATCTAGCTTCTCTATTATGGAATACGAATATATGTATCAAAGCTGGGTTATTATAACAAAAAATATCATCTAATTTTGCAATTTTAAGGTTAGAAAAATCTATTTTGACTAAATAAAATAAGTATTTTGGATTATTTGCCAG